TCACAAATCTGAAATCATTGAAAAACGTCAGTACAACTATTTACTTGAAAAATAATCAAAGATAAACAATAAGAATTGAATAAATAAATTAAAATTTAAACTTGCAATTTTCGCTCAAAAAGAAAACCGAAAAATAAATTTCGGCATGACTCACTTACCTATCCCTAGTGGAGTCGCCAAGCTGTCAGAACCGTCTTTCGGGTGGGCCCGAAATTGGGCTTCGACTTGAATAGAATGGTTAGAGTCGCCACCGATCATTTTAAAAACAATGTTTAGGCTACCCGGACATCATCTTACCTGATTTGTGTTACCATAAATATGTCGAGTTCGAGAGTGGTTATGGTCAATGAAGGATTAACACCCTTGAACCGCCCTTTCGATACCAATTAATTTGTCGGTTATCTTAGTAGCGAAAAATTTAAATTTAAAAATTCAACTGGAATTGCTTACCTTTGATCGATTAAGATTATTATTGAAAAATGCAAAAAAATGTTAAATTGAAAAATAAAAATAATAAAGAATATCAAACAAAAGAAAAAATGGATTAAAAAAAATACTTTTAAAAATAATAATAAAATACAAAAAATATTAAAAGGGATAAATAAATAATAATGAAAATGAAGTAATAAAAAAAGAAAAATAATAAGAAAATAATGAAAATAAAAAAATAAGAAAACGAAATAAAATAAAAAATAATAAAAAAGGTTAAATTTTGAAAACAATGTTAAAAAATATTAACAAAAAAACCAAATAAATAAATAAATAAAAAGGATCAAAATGCAAAAATTAAAATAGTAGTGGCTAAATCGAAAAAAGTGGCTAAATTAAAACATGCATAAATTTCTAGGTCATTTTTGAATAAAACATGAATTAGGGACTAAAATGTAAAAATAATAAATTCGAGATCCAAATTGAAATACTGAAATTTAAATTCAGTGGCTAAACTGTAGAGAATACAACTTATAGGGACCAAGGGTATAATTTACTAATTTTTCAAATTACACATAAACCCCCTTCTCCAAAACGACATAGTTTTGAGAGGGTATTTATACCCCTTCAATCAGCCCAAATGGCCTTCATTGTCCCATTTGTGCATTTTTCCTTCTCTCTCTAAAATGAGAGTGAGAATTTTCTCTTGCCTCTCTCTAACACTCACTCGTCGGAGGGATGGTCGGCCACCACCAATCGCCACTGTTCACCGCTTCGGCCGCCATCGTCGGCTGTCGAAAAAATTCAAAATTCACCGAAATGCTCCCCTTAACACCCTAAACCTAAATATAAGGCCAAAATCGCACAAAAAGACCCAAAAAGGCATAGATATGAACTGAAAGTTCTGATTTTCTTTATCTTCGATGGTGACTCCTCAGCTCATCCGACATGTTTGGCTCCCCTCGGTGGCTTTCGGCGAAGGCTTCGATGTTTATATATATATATATATATATTCTATAGTCGAACGATCCTTTTTTTTTTGTTTTGGGTTGCTTGGATTTCTTGCTTTTGTTTGCTTGATCTCTGTGTGTGTTGTGTTCGTTGATGTGTTGTTTTGTGATGGTTCTTTCCCGACTATTATTGTTTTGTGATGATTGTTCCGTTCTGTTGATGGGTTTGATGATGTCCTCCTTGGCCTCACTGGGGGCTTTTTATAGCCCCGGTGTTGGCCGTTTTGAGCCCCGAAATAAGAGGATTTGTGGCCGTTGTGAGACCAATCATCCTGGGATGGGTCAGTCCTGTGATATCGGCCGGCCGTTTCGCACTAAATGGTGCGTGGCTTCACGCACGCTCTGTTGACTCACTCCCATGCGACACATTTACTAAAAGATGAAACCCTAATCGGGTTAGGGCTGGATCAGGCCCAAACACGATTGGGTTTCTGCTGGACCCATTGGACTTGTAAAACGAAAAAAAGGGAATAAATAAATAAATAAATAACAAATAAAATAAATAATAAATAATAATAAAAAACATTTTAAAACTGTATATTATATATGCTTTTAAAAATTGTTTTCAAACTATATAATATATATATTTTCAAAATTTGTTTTAAAACTAATATATATTTTCAAAAATATTTTCAAAATTATATTATATACATTTTCAAAAATTATATATTATTGTTTTAAAATGTTTTCAAAACTATATATTATATATTTTCAAAAATGTTTTTAAAAACTATATATTATATATTTTCAAAATGTTTTAAAAACTATATATTATATATATATTTTCAAAAAAAAAATTAAAAACTATATATTATATAAATTTTCAAAAACTATATATTATATAAGTTTTCTAAATGTTTTAAAGACTATATATTATATATATTTTTTCAAAAATTGTTTTAAACTAATAAATTTTAAAAAACTATATATTTTCAAAAAATGTTTTAAACTAATAAATTTTAAAAATATATATATTTTAAAATTTTAAAGACTATATATTATAAGTTTGAATTTTTTTTAAAAACTATATATTATATATATTTTTCAAAAAAAATTAAAAACTATATATTATATAAAATTTTCAAAATATTTTTAAAAACTATATATTATATATGTTTTCAAAATGTTTTAAAGACTATATATTATATATTTTTTCAAAAATTGTTTTAAACTAATAAATATTTTCAAAAATATTTTCAAAATTATATATACATTTTCAAAATATTTTCAAAATTATATATTATTGTTTTAAAATATTTTAAATAAAAAAATAAAACAAAATAAAAACAAATCCGGACGAAAATAAGTGTCTACAGATATGACTCAAAGTGATTAAAAATTATAATTTTAAAACTTAATTCATAAATATAAGTACTATAATTTAAATATTTAATTTAACTTGAAATATTTAAATTGACTAACTCAAAAGTTTATAGTTTAAATATTTATTGTTAAACTAAGGTTTAAATAAATATAATAAAATGATTAATTAAATAATATTTATTAGCATTAAATGTACTCTAAATAAAAAGAAATAAAATTTTATTATTGCATAATCCAACTTATCCGTTCGTGTATTCAAAAAAACGTTGTTTCCTTTTTGGTTAGGTTGCGACCGACCCGGCCAGCAAGAAATCCAATGACGTGACTCTCGAAGATTTCGATACGTTCTCATTTGTCAACGGCTTTTAATCAAACACACATTACCCTAACATCAACGTTTTAACCGTTACAATTTCTGGTATGTCCCCCTTCTAAAATATAACTGATTAATGCAAAATTTAAAGAATAATAGAAATCGGTTCACAGTCTGAATATTATCAATGGCGTAATTTTTTAAGTTGAAATAAATTTTAGAAGTTTACTGTTATAAAGAAGATTGTTCTCTCGAATAAAAAGATCGATCCCTCATATTTGAAATCATAGGAAAATGTTTAAAATTGTTACTTTAAGCCTTTTCAACCTTTGGGACTTACATGTTTGATTTTTTACAAAATAATCACCAAAATTTTAAGATGCAATACTAGATTGCTATTAACTCTAATAAACTTGAGATTTCACCTATGAACTTCAAATGACCTTAATTTCATTGATAATTCTAAAAATTTGTTGTATTAAAATTAATTGAAATATTAGTACCTAAGATGAATGTTTTTGTGGGCCCAATCGATATTCTTCTTAAAAATCTTGTATCAATCGTATTTTAATTTAAATAGTTTTTACCAACTATGTAATAATTGTATAGCTTGTTGCAGCAGTTAAATGTTACATATATATTGGGTCCTAGGTTTGATCCTCCAATTTGCTTCTATACTTCCCTAAATTTTCATTAATAAGATAATAATGTGTTGTCATTATGTTAGAGAAATTATTTCAAATTAAAACTAGGATCAAGCTGGTAAAATTTTTATATATTGATTGTTAAATTTGTAATTGAATTATTTTTATAATCATCAAATAAATAAATTATATGAATTTTATGGACTAAAAATTTTATTATATCATGTCATATTATAATATTCATTAAACTTTTAACATCAACGAGCAATTAATAATGAAAATGTAACGTTAATAATAAATTTGTCAAAAAAAATAATCCGACTATCAAAATAAAAATTTATAATGATTGAATGAATAAATTATTAATCTTTAAAATTTTTTTATTTATTTTTTGAAATATCACGAATAATTTATAAAACCTGCCAAGTTTAAAAATACTTTAAGTTTCACCTTATTGATAAGATACTCAACCATATTTAGGGGTGAATATTCGAATCGAGTCCAGTTGAGTCAAAAAATTTTGTATTATTCGAGTTGACGAGTCTATTTTATGACTCGAACTTATATTTGGTTTTTTTCAAATCTAGTGTCATATTCTTATTGTTTTTACATTATAATATTATTTAATATATAAAATACAATCTAAAATTATAAAATATATTTCCAACATTATATTTTAATAAAGGTATTTTGAGAGTAAAATATTTATGAGAGTATAAAGAAGTAAGTCAAGAAATTGATAGGATTTTTTTTGCAAACAATCGCAATCAAAATACCAAATTGAGTAAAATGTAAAGTTAAGGGACTAAATTTAAAAAGAGTACATTTTTAGTAAAAAAAATAAGAGTTAAAGTTACATAAAAATTTTATAGTGGTATAGAAGTACGCGATTCAAATTTGGTCAAAAATAAACTTAAAATGAAATAAAAAGTAAACTTATGAAAATAGAATTGAAGGAACAAAAAAAGCAATAACTAAATTGTAAAATTGTTGAAAAAATAAAATCAATAATTTAAATCGAATCAAATAACTCAAATAACTTAAAATTAAAAAAATCGAATCAAATTTTACTTCCCTCTATTCATACTCATTTATATTTAATTTTTAAAATACAATTTATTTTATTTCTTTTTCGAGAAATTATCATGTGGAATTCTCCCATAAGTATAACCTCTTTACACACTCTCTCTGGTTGGCAGCGGCGTCCTCTTTCTTCTAGCTTTACGAGAAGTCGAAGTTTCATTTTTTTTTATTATTGTTTTCGCATCCGTCTTCATTAAGTTAATTAAAGTAATCGATATTATTATATATATCAGCAGCTTTCTGGAAATCGAGCTATCGATTTTTGCCTTGACTATGGATTCTGAAATGGAGAAGAAATCCCACGATGGTGTTGTCGTTAACGGCGGAAATGACGGCGTGGTGGGGTTAAATGCCAAGATGAACAAGCTCATTATCGATACCGATCCCGGGATTGGTCTGTTTCTCTCCCTTTTACCCTTTTTATTATTTTATCCTTTTCGTTTTAGCTGGTTGAAATGAATTTAGAATGTTTAGTTGTACGGACGAGAAAAATAATATTGAATTTGGAAATAACCCATTTAAAAAAATTATCGTTGTCGTTGCAATTTATTCTGAAAAAAGTTGTAAGCATTGTATCTGTCTCCTCAAAGTAAACAAACAAAGGACCGAAGCATAGATTCATGAGGTAAGAGGTAAAAGAAAAAGGAAAAAGTGAAAGCTGTTTTATGGGTTCTTTGTAAACTGCCAAGTGATGAGAATCTAGCCTTCGGTTATTGTGGTTCCTGAGTATTAAATTTGGTGAGTTGTAAGATCGGAATGGGAAAATTTGGGTTTTGATAGAGTTTTCAAACTAGCATTCTTATTAGGCTATTTAAGAAGTGAAATTGTCTTTGGAAAATAATGCGGAGGGCAGTTGGGGTTCTAATGGTGTGGTTGTGTGTAATGTGTAGAGCCAGATTTTTCTACCCTGTGTTAGATTGAAATGATCTATGAGGATCCTCTGTGAGACATGAATGTGTTCTTACTTGATTAACAGATGACAGCATGGCAATCTTAATGGCATTCCAGAATCCAGAGGTGGAGATCTTGGGATTGACGACTGTATTCGGTAATGTTTCGACTGAAAATGCCACTCGTAATGCCTTACTCCTTGTACGTGCTTGTTTTTCTATTCAAAATTCTTATTTGCCGTTTTATATATTTTGGAATATGTCCATGATCATTTCCTCTTTCTGAGGTGCAAAAGGATAGTGTGAGATCGCAGGGTGTCCAGGTGTTCCTGTAGCTGAAGGCAGCCCTGGTCCTCTTAAGGTAACTATTTAGGTGTTCCACTCGCACATTCTGCATCCATTGCAAGAATTAGATTATAATTGCACACACATATACCGTGCCTTCATTTCATTTAGTCTAGTCCTTTGTGCCTTAGACAAATGAGGGTTCTAGTTCTTTGAGTACCCTTGCACACTCGACGACATGATGACTTTCTATACAACTCTGATTTATTGTGATTTTTTATTCCCTTTTCGGGCATTGTGGCATCCTGTATTTACTGGAGCCTAACCTTAGTTTATCTGGAAAAAGGGTGGGAGGCCACGTGTTGCTGACTTTGTTCACGGCTCTGATGGAATGGGGAATATATTTCTGCCTCCTCCAAATGCAAAGAAATCTGATAAGAGTGCCTCTGAATTTTTAGTTGAAAAGGTAACTGAGTACCCTGATGAAGTATCCGTGCTTGCACTTGGACCATTGACAAATGTGGCACTAGTAAGTCTTTGCATCATTTCTTACCAACTTCCTTCTTTGTTGTTACTATTAGTAGACTTTTGTCGACAACTATGTGCCTAAACATATTTATATGTCCAGGCGATCAAAAGAGACTCTTCCTTTGCTAGCAAGGTGAAAAATATAGTTGTACTTGGTGGCTCATTCTTTGCATTAGGAAACGTGAATCCTGCTGCTGAAGCAAATGTACGTATTGATGCTCCTAAATTTATGTTTCTTATGATGTGGTACATAAAACTATTAATATTTATTGAAAAAAAATCCATTAAGGTACTGGAAGCTTCTAAAGTTGAGCTCTGTTTTCATTAGAAGTGCTCCGAATGGAACTTTCTTGATTGTTAACCTCTTTCAGGTTATTAATTGTTACTGCTTGTAAACATGTCTTAAATGTTATATTGCTGGGAAGAATTTCCATTCGGTCGAATAATTGTTTAGTTCGTTTGCTTTTGTCCCTTACATCATGACCATGTTATCCCATTGTTCATTAGAAGGTAAGTTGCAATTGATTGGACAGCAGAGAAAATTAGTTTGCAGTTGAACAAAGTTTAATAGTTGACCATCCATCAAGACGCCATTCAGAATTCATTTTTCTGACCACAGATTTACGGAGATCCTGAAGCGGCTGATGTTGTGTTTACTTCGGGAGCAAATATTGTTGTTGTCGGGATAAATATTACGACCCAAGTCCAAATGACAGGTAGGAACGTAGTTTATCATTTATCTTCACAGACAAGCTTCTTTTTGCATGTTTAGAAGGTAATTTCTCGACAAATATCTTTTCTGTTAGATGATGACCTCCTTAAATTGAAGCAATCAAATGGAAAGTATGCTCAGCTCCTAAGTGACATGTGCAAATTCTACAGAGATTGGCATGTGAAGTCCGACGGTGTATACGGTAATCTTTTGAAATTTTAAATTACATCAGACCACATCCGTTTCCTTCCTTTCGAAATTTGTTCTAAGGCTTACCTTTAACGGAAAAAACATTGAAAATTTTGGTACCAGGGATATTCCTCCATGACCCGGTCAGTTTTGTGGCTCTAGTTCGGCCGGATCTCTTCACATACAAGAAGGGGGTTGTGAGGGTTGAGACGCAGGGCATATGCATGGGGCATACGTTGTTGGATCAAGGATTAAAAAAGTATTTCACAAAAGCAAGCTTCTTATTGATTCGAATAGATCTGCTGTTATTGTAGCTAATGTTAATGTCATAAACTGGTGCAGATGGAATGGAAGCAACCCATGGACAGGCTATTTCCCGGTTTCCGTTGCTTGGACGGTCAGTGTGGATGAAGTCCTTAGCTATATTAAAACAATGTTGACGAAACCATAAGAGCTGGAAATACAACTTGACATCTTAGAAGATTTCCTGAAGATGGGTAATTGCCTTTGATTTCTTATAAAGGGCCATTTGTGATTTACTCTCCTTAGTTCTTACCAAGATTTGGGTTTAATAGGCTCATGATCATTGTGATGTTGGTGGATCTTCTTAATTTTTTTTTTCAGTAAAAAACATTCACCTTGATGATCCTCAACTAGTAAAATGATGGTTTGATCCAAACTATTTGATGTTAGTGACAGGTTTTTCTGCTAATTCTTGATGCGTTGCCGTACAACCAATCATTTCCAAGCTTAGATCGCCAAACTGAATCAGATTACTCTCTTCTTCGAAAAGTATCGAACACACTAACATCTTTTTATTGAAAATGATCAATAAATAAGATATACGGCAACTGTTAGAGCTAACCTATAAGATATAAAATATAGGATTAATGAAGAAATAAGTGTTCAAATCATAGTCTTTGTTCAGTTTAGATGTTTAAAGTATTTTTTACTTAAAAGTAGTTGTCTAACATTTTAATGTTACTCTTTTGTGTCTATGTTGTAACGTCCGTTAAAAAGATTATTATATGTTACGTTTATAAAATTTTAAAATTATATTTTGAAAAACTTATAATTATATATTTAAAATAAATCTCAAATTTCTCTAAAATTACAAAATACTCAAAATCTTAAAATTCTTAGTTTCAACCTCCATCACAATAAAACTAGTATAATAACAATAAAATTATAATTGATAAAAAACAATAAGAACAATATTACAAAAAAAAAAAAAAAATTCAAATTGTAAGTGAAAAAAAATAGAATTATACCTTCTAATTGCTACCCCTTCCTTGGAGAGACATTCTTTGAATTGAAATATATCTATAGTTTGATCAGTAAATATATATTTGAGAAAATCGCCTCAGTGACCAAAAATGCCTTATAATATACGATTTTAACCAACTTTTTTTGGATTTGCCAAAATGACCAACAAAATCGCAACGCGAAATAAAAATCGCAACGCGATCCCCAGAATCGCAAATCAGTTTCCAAAATCGCAACGCGATTCTTGAAAATCGCAATGCGATAGTACAAATTCGCATTGCGATTTACCAAAATCGCAACGCGAATATGAAAATCGCAACGCGAACACATAAATCGCAACGCGTATCCGTAAATCGCAACGTGTATCCGTAAATCGCAACGCGTATGGGTAAATCGCAATACGTATCCGTATATCGCAACGCGTATCCGTAAATCGCAACGATAATACATAAAATCGCAACGCGTATCCGTAAATCGCAACGCGATATTTAAAGCGCCATTATAATCGCTACGCGTATTTTATTTTCAAATTACAAAAAACGAATATTAAGACAAAATCCGTAATCGCAACTCATAACTAAAACCTAAAATCACAACTCAGTCCCATCTCCATCTCTCACTCTACGGCGAAGAAATCCGTCCCATCTCCGAAGATTTCCGTCCCCATCTCCGGCGAAATCCCTCACAACCATTCACGGTCAGAAATCCTCACAATATTCAGAAATGGAAAATCAACCTCCGAGGGTTAGTTTTTAATTATTTTATTTTGAAATGTTTGCATATTGTAGGTTTTTCATATTGAAACTGATGATAAGTTTACTGGTCATTTCAATAATAGATTAACCATTTCACTTAGATTTCATTTCGCGTTACGATTCTGTCGTTGCGATTTTCATTTCGCGTTGCTCTTCGTTGCGATTTTCAAGTTAGTATTTGTCTTTGTCTTTGTTCTGTCTTTGGTTGAAGTAATGCAATCCATTCAAGTTTCAATTTGCAGAAGAGTCGCAACGAGATAAATGAAAATCGCAACGAGAGAATGACTGTCGCAACGAGAGAAATGAAAATCGCAACGAGAGAATCGCAACGCGAAATGAAAATCGCAACGAGAGAATCGCAACGCGAAACCAAAATCGCATTGCGATTTTCATTTCGCGTTGCGATTCTCTCGTTGCGATTTTCATTTCGCGTTGCGATTCTCTCGTTGCGATTTTCATTTACTCGTTGCGACAGTCATTCTCTCGTTGCGATTTCATTTCAACCAAAAGACAAACAGTGTTGCAAATTTTAGTTTCAAGAATAAACTACTACTTTTTATGTTTATTGTTTTTGGTATATCTTCACAGTGTAGTTTTTGGTATATCTAACTTGGTATGTTTATTGTTTTGTAGAAATTTTTTTCGGCTCAATTGACCTTGAGAAATAAAGTCAGCCTGGCCACTACAATTGCTTCGAAGCTTTCACCTGCTCAAAGACAATTGTTTGAGGAAACTGCTTCGGGCCATGGCTGAGAGTACAGCATCCAGGTGGAGATGCTAATTTGACCCATTTATGGCTTCAGACCATGACATCAATCTACCCGACAGTATACAACGTGGTGAGGAAGAGATATGGTTTCATTTTCCACCAGCGTATACTTGTTTTGGGCGGAAGGAGTTCTGCTTAATCACTGGTCTACGATTCGGACCGATGATGTAGGCCGGTACACTCGTCATATCGCCCCGCCCATCATGGTTATCCCGGGTTTTTCCGGATGAGTCAATGGAGAAGCCGAACCTACATGTCGACGACCTGAAGAAATTGTTTAATAAGAAAGCTGGTTTCACTCGGATGGATGACGTCGATGTTGTCCGAGTATGCCTTCTACTACTTGTGTATGCCGGCTTTTTAGGCAGAGAGGCCAGACAACCTATTCATCGGGAGCTAATAATATGGTAGAGGACCTGAATGCATGGAATCTGTTTCCGTGGGGTTCGTATATATGGAAAGCTACCTGGACTAAGTTGTCGTCTGCCTTTGATGACCGCAAAAGTTTGCGGGGCGATGGGTCCAAATACACTTTGTCAGGCTTTGTTGGGCCTTTAAGGTAAGAATTTCTATATAATGTTTCTAAAATTATAATTAATTATTTAACAATTACTAATTTTGTTATTATATTGTTTGTAGATTTGGATATTCGAGGCTTTCCCCAGCATGCGTACATATGCAATAAAAACGTCAAATGATATTCCCAGGGCTATTTTCTGGAAGAGGAAAACTCTGTTGGATTGGGAAGACTTAATACCATATGCGACAATAAATAATGTAGTTAACACAAATACTTTCATATAATATATAAACAAGTTATTAATAGTAGACGTTTAACTTTGTTTGAGTTTTTATATTTTTAGGAGGCCAACATTCCATTACAAAGACTGACACCCACGGAGGAAGAGCTTGCCACTGATTGGTGGCAAGCTAGTCAGAGTTTTTTTGATGGCACGGATGATGAGCAGCATCCACTTCCTCCAATTCGAGAGCCATCACCTCACCTAGAGCCATCACCCGATCGACCCGACTATACACCTCTAGAACGAGAGCCATCACCTATCCGGTCACATCATCGAGCCTCTTCTCCACCATCACCTCATGATAGGCGACCGGCAAAGATGCCACGACTCTATCTCCCTGTTCTCACCTCCACGGGATGAGTCAAGGGAGTTACGTGATGAGGTCAATGCCTTGCGTGAGGAGATCGGTACTCTACGCGATAACGATGGTGCATGGCGTGTGGAGGTGTCAACTTTACGTGGTGAGGTTGCCGCTCTACGTGAGATGATAGTATCGTTGCAGAATGAGGTTCATACTCTACGCAACGAGGTAAGTTTAAGATTTTCCATATTTAACTTAATGATAAATTTACTCGTAATTTCACTTAGATTAGCCATTTCACTTAGATTGCTTAGTAAATTTATTCGGTTGCTGCCAATTCTGCTAAACTGTGTATTCTTTAACACTGTGAAATAGTATTTGTCTTGTTTTGTCTTTTGTTGAAAGTAAATTTGTTCGGTTGCTGCCAATTCTGCTAAACTGTGTATTCTTTAACACTGTGAAATAGTATTTGTCTTTGTTTTGTCTTTTGGTTGAAAGTAAATTTGTTCGGCTGCCAATTCTGCTAAACTGTGTATTCTTTAACACTGTGAAATAGTATTGTCTTTGTTTTGTCTTTTGGTTGAAAGTAAATTTGTTCGGTTGCTGCCAATTCTGCTAAACTGTGTATTCTTTAACACTGTGAAATAGTATTTGTCTTGTTTTGTCTTTTGGTTGAAAGTAAATTTGTTCGGTTGCTGCCAATTTGCTAAACTGTGTATTCTTTAACACTGTGAAATAGTATTTGTCTTTGTTTTGTCTTTTGGTTGAAAGTAATGCAATCCATTCAAGTTTCAATTTGCAGAAGAAGAAATAGTTTACTTCGCAACACGAAACTTAAAATCGCAACGCGAAACCAAAATCGCAACGCGAAATGAAAATCGCAACGACAGAATCGCAACGCGAAACCAAAATCGCAACGCGAAACCAAAATCGCATTGCGATTTTCATTTCGCGTTGCGATTCTTTCGTTGCGATTTCATTTCGCATTGCGATTCTGTCGTTGCGATTTTCATTTCGCGTTGCGATTTTGGTTTCGCGTTGCGATTTTAAGTTTCGTGTTGCGAAAGTAAACTATTCTCTTCTGCAAATTGAAACTTGAATGGATTGCATTACTCAACCAATAGACAAAACAAAGACAAATACTAACTTCAGGGTATTAGTTTGAAACATATTTTTCTTGTTATCTGATGCATTTTGTGAACTATGATAGAATAATGACTTGGGTGAATACAATGCAAGTTTGAAAAACATTTGTCTTTGTTTTCACTGTTTAAATATCATGTTGTTTATTTACTGATTTTTGTATTTAATTATTTAGCGGCCCGATAGAGTGGATGCTTTACGTCGGGTTATGCTTGCACGACGAGTTCACGCATCAGACAGCGTGCACGTGCTATTAAGTCTCGTACACCCCAATAGTGCGAAGACACCGCAAGAAGAAGCCCGACTCGCCTGTCATCCCTCAAGAGTCAACTCCTATCGTTGAAGAGGCCCCCCCTATCATTCTCGAGAGTCCCTCCCACCGATCAAGAGGCCATGTCATCATTGAAGAGGTCCCTCCCACCATTCAAG